AGAAAGTATATACTTGTAGCATGAGTAAGCTGATGTCCAACATAATGTTAAGACATTAAGATTGACATCCTTGACTCGACTTGCCTTTTAATAAAACAACCTTTTGTCACTTTGAGCTTTCCCTTTTTCCTATCATAGCTTTGAAAACCCAAACACTTCCAACAATATTTCCACTTGAGGAACCTTCTTCAACAGAACTGAATGATCCTTACAAACTTGATCTTTGATATCAAGTTTTTAGTATTGATAGAGTCACTTCACCTTGCAAGTTATAGATGGTAGGCACTCTTTCGTTCTCTTAAGACATGAGATCATAAATAAATCACCTTCTACTTTTTCATGTTTGATAACACCTTTTATTCTAGATACATGGATCTTTGAATAAAACATCCAACATATTATAAGATGATTCTTCAAAAACAGAAATCTTCATTAGAAGTCCATCTTCCAGTCAACCCAAATATAGACAACTTATACATTTGATCTTGAGATAAGTAGGGAATTATGCTCCACAAAGATCCAAGGTCTTCACACTCGTAAAAATGCTTTGACATTGATTGACCTATACTCCAGTTCTAGCCTCTTTTATTTTTAGCATCACAAACATGCTGAAGTTAGCACAAATTTTCTTGACATTTGGTCCAGACATCTTGTTCAAACTCTTCAACACCTGATCAGATTTCCTTCTAAGGAACACTATAGTAATAAGAAACCCTTCATTAGAGACCGGAGTATAATTTCCTGTAAGTTGGAAAAATAATGCTCTTGTTTTTCTTAAATAGCTTGTCACTTTTCATGTCAAACTCCTTGATTAGAAACCTGAGAAAACTTCTTCTTGATCATCTTCACATCGGAATTATTTTCTTCCAAACACACTTAGATATGCCTTTGTGAGTGGACTTGAGAAATTCCCAATTATCTTTGTCTACAATACAAGTGATACAGAGAACCTACCAATTCCATAGATCATGAATTTGATAATTTCATAGTGACAAAGAGCCAACTCAACCTTTTCCCTTTTATCTCTTCAAAACTAGGAATCTCCTATCTTGATAATTATTCAAGCTCTGTTGTCTATTGATAACCAAAATGCTATCGCTCCAGTCTTCCAAAAAGAACAGTAGTACCAGAAAATACTCCCTGAAGCTCACCCAATGGACCAGGGTCTCTGATACCAATTGAAATTTTTCTGGTACAGGTAACACATGGAAATACTAACATTCCAACATCAGAACAATGTCAAGATAGATGTTACAATATCTGATTTGACATCATGAACAGATTTATCACGTTATAACAGATACTGAAACTTAAACTGAAGAATGATAAATAACACATAAAGTTGTTAACCCAGTTTGGTGCAACATCACCTACTCTAAGGGCTATCAAGCCAGGAAGTAAGTCCACTATCAACAATATTAGTTCAAAGTTAAACAATCCTAGTTTACAACTTCTCGCCTAATCCCTACTCAATGAAACTTCTACCTTGGAACCTCCTTAATATGAGAAATTTCCATCTCACTTCCTAAATTACCTCAGTGATATCTAATAGTCCCAATCCCAGTGATTGTATCGAGTATAACTAAACAAGAAGATCATACTTCCATTACAACACTTAGCCAGGACTCTTGACTAAGAACAATACTTGGATTTTCTTAAAAGCTTCATCCACGAAAAATACTCAACTCATTTCCTAAAGGTTTCTGAGTGAGAACATATGCCGACCACAAGTATCAAAAGATACAAGAGTGACTTACACCATACAATACACAAGAGACTCTCAAAACTTAAGACTATTTTTTCTTCCCCTAATTTTACAATTGTTGAAAGAACTAATTGCATTAGGTTAGGTCTTAAATTTAAATACACATATAATGTCTATGGGCTTTGAATTATGCATCCAGAAGTTTCTTGATCCATAAGTTGATTGATGCACCAATTGTGCAACAAAATCTCCTTAAATCATGGAACAAACAATACACAATTTCCTAAATTGTCTCAAGGACCAATTTAGTAACCCATGCACAATTGTAGATATAAAACATGTTACAGATTAAATCTTCTTGACCTACAAAATAATTGAGATATATCCAAGGGAAATATCACAGAATCAAATCAAATATGACAAGATTTAAAATAGCAACCCATATTGTACCAGACCATGATGTCATGACATCTGCTTCGACATCTGGCTAAAAAACTCATAACAGCAAAACTGCTATGACAGATGATAAGAATGATGTACCATCTTGATCAACATCAGTAGAAGCATGTTTTAGAAAAATTACGCCAACACCAAAACCATGGAACTAACAAATATTATTTTAACATGTTGTCCCCAACATTGAATAGTCATAGGACACTCAAAAAATACATGAAAATCATCCTCAATATGGTTGTTGCAAAGCATACACTCCCTGGAACAATCTACATGAAGTTGGCGAAGCCTTATTCTCGACGAGAGACATTCCTGAAAAATTCCCCACAACAAATGTTTCACTCTAAACCGAGATTTGATGTTCCAAATGCTATTCCAATCCTCTGTATTACTAGAGATTTCTCCTCCTCTCTGAGCATTCCGCCACACCCTATACCCTGATCGCACACTATAATTACCGCTTTGTTCCTCCTTCCAAATCAACATATCCTCAGTAACTTCCTCCAACAATGTGACATGGATAATTTCATCAATCACTGCAAAATCAAACATATCACGAATAATTTTCATATTCCACTATTTAACATTAGGAAGCATGAGGTTATTAACAGTTATGTCATACACACCTTGCATCTGCGGACCCATCAGGTACTCATCACGACTCCCACGAATCCAAGGTTCGGACATTACTTCGATGCGACTTCCATCTCCAATACTCCACCTACAATCTAGGGTTAGGACCTCTCTAGCTTTCCAAAGACTCCTCCAAACAAAACTTGGATTATAACCTACATTAGCATCAAAGAAGGAGATTCTAGGGAAGTAACTTGCTTTAAAGATTCGAGACACAAGGGCTTGAGGTTGAGACTAATAAACCAACCTTATTTAGCAACCATCCCCATATTAAAATCTTTAAAATCCTGGAACCCTAAACCTCCATCCTTCTTAGTTTGAGTGAGCCTCTTCCATGATATCCATCTGATGCACCTGTTATTGCTACCTCCACCCCACCAAAAAGAATTCAACATCCGCTCAATATCATTAATTAGCACATCTGGAAGGATATATATACTCATGATGTAGGTCGTGATAGTTTGAAGCACATATTTGATCATGACCTCCTTACCCGCCCTAGATAATGATCGACCTCTCCAAGAGTTGATACTCTTCCAAATTCGATCCCTGATATAAGAAAAAGTAGACTTTTTGCTCCTACCAATCATAAAAGATAATCCCAAGTAAATATTAGTCTCCAGAACATGGCGCACTCCCATGATATTAGCAAGGTCCTCTTTGGCTGGATTACTCAATTATTACTAAAGAAAACTTTGGATTTAGACATATTTATATGTTGCCCAAAGGTTTCTACATAAATTGTTAGCAACTCCATAATGGATCGAGTTTCTAATAGATTGGCCCTCCAAAATAGAAGACAGTCATCAGCAAAGAGCATATGGGACACAGTGGATACCCCTCTGCATATCTAGACTCCATGGATATCTCCTCTAGCCACTGATCCCTTGATAAGGGCCGGAAAACCTTTTGTAATAAGAATAAAGAGACAAGGGGACAATGAGTCCCCTTGTCTCAACCCTCTTCATGGTTCAATAGGTCCAAATTTTTCCGAGTTAACAAAAACATTATAATGCACCGAAGTGACACACATCATCATCCAGTGGATCCATCTTTCCGCAAATCCCAACTTTCCAATCATCTCTCTTAGAAAGCCCCAATCTACTATATCATATGCTTTGTTTATATCAATCTTGAGCGTCAAATGAGCCTTTCTACCTCTCATTTTCCTTTTAAGGGCATGTATTATCTCGCATGCAATCATGGCATTATTTAAAATGGATCGACCTTCCACAAAAGCTAATTGTTCCTCTAAAACACACTTTTCTAACACAAACTTCATTCTATTAGCAAGAACCTTGGAGACTATTTTATAGATCACATCACACAATGCGATAGGACGGAATTCTTTCATGTTAGAGGGTTGGGAACACTTCAGAATCAAACAAATGTTAGTTTCATTAATAGATGTCGGAAAGTAACCACGTTCTAACCAATCTCTTGCAGGTGCAAAAATATCATGACCACATAATCCCAAAAATTTTGATAAAATACAGGATTAAATCCATCTGGTCCTGAGATTTTATCCGGGTGCATCTCTAATAAAGCCAAACGGAACTCTTCCTTAGTAAACTCTACCAACAACCTATCATTATCCATCTCATTAACAGTAGCATAAACATAATGAATAACCGGCTCATACCGGCCCTCCGACATCTTAAACAATCCTTCAAAGTAATTTCTCGCCACTTCACTAAGGCATTGCTGGTCCGTAATGATGCTACCGTCCTCATGGATCAATTTATCATTATTATTATTATTATTATTATTATTATTATTATTATTATTATTATTATTATTATTATTATTATTATTATTATTGATGCCGTTTCTTTTAAAAAATAAAAAAATAAAAAAATATATTTTGTCACTAAAAACTTTTAAGAAAATTATGACTCCCATACCTCCTACATGATAGGCACAACTGCACAAGTGTATCAAGAACATCATTTATGAGTTGAATTAGTTTTAATTGGATCTGATTCTTCACCACTCAAATAAATTTTTACTATAATTATAAATTACTTATCTATTATTATTATTACACATGTCAACTAAAAATAGTAAATGAAGACATTAACATATTTTTTAGTACTTTAAGAACGTTTCTGTATGTAACCCAAATAGAATCATTATTAACCACATCTTTGATTTCTCACCTATACTATATAAGCAATCAATGCTCCTTGAAATTCACAACATTCTCTCATCAAACACACAAAAAAAACTTAACAGACATGGCTAAGTATTCAAAGAATGTGCTTGTTTTTTGCATTGGAATGCTTCTTGTAAGCTTATGGTGCATGAAAGTGAATGGTCGTAAACCAGTAGATGCACCTGGAAATTTGTTAACAGGACAAACAAATGGACATGAAGATGCACCTGTTGGATGTAACAGCAAACAATCGGGTGCAGAATGCACAGATGATACTTTTAAGACGACTACGAAGAGGACAGGTGGAGGTGGACGTGATAATAAAGGAGAGAAACATGAAAACCCATTTTCAGGATGGTTTGGTAATAATTGAAAAGTCAACGTAATTATGCTCATCAAAACAAAATGAAATAAAGTAATGAGTTATCATATATGTGTCTGTAATTTTAATACAAATGTATATGTTTAGGGTTGTTCAAAAAAACCGTCGAATTGTACTGAACCGTCGAATCGAATTGAATTCGGGTTAAAATAATTGAACTATTATTAAAAGTTAGTCAAATAAACTAGCAATTAATCAATCACAAAATAATTCTGAACCAAAATTCAATTCGGTTTATTTTTTAGATTTTCAAAAAAATCGATTTTTGTATTTTTGATAAAAACCAAACTTGAATTTTCAAAAAAATTGATTTTTTGATCTTAGGTTTTTTATTTTCGAAAAAAATTGACCTTTTTGAATTCGAAAAAAATTGACTTTCTTATTTTTGAAAAAATCATTTTTTTTTCAAAAAAATCGATCTTCAAATTTTAAAAAAAATCGACTTTTTTGATTTTTGAAAATAATTGACTTTTTTATTTTTGAAAAAAAATCGACTTTTGGTTTTCAAAAAATTGACATTTTGATTTTCAAAAAAAGCAACTTTATTTATTTTTAGAAAAAATCAACTTTTGGATTTACGAAAAAGTCTATTTTTTTATTTTTTTGAAAAAATCGAGTTTTTGATTTTCGAAATTAACGATATTTTTTATTTTCAAAAAAATCGACTTTTTGATTTTCAAACAAATCGACTTTTTGATTCTCGAAAAAATAGAATTTTTGATTTTCGCAAAAATCGAATTTTTTTATTTTTTGAAAAAGCGACTTATTGATATTCAAAAAAATCGATTTTTTTATTTTAAAAAAAACTGACTTTTTTATTTTCGAAAAACCAATTTTTTTTATTTTTGGAAAATCGACTTGTTTAGTTTCGAAAAAATCGACTTTTGATTTTTTTTTAAAATCAACTTTTTGATTTTTGAAAAAATCAACTTTTTGATTTTCAAAAAAGCCACTTTTTTGTTTTAAAAAAAATCGACTTTTTGATTTTCGCAAAAATCGAATTTTTTATTATTGGATAAAACAAATTATTGATATTAAAAAAATCGATTTATTTTATTTTTTAAAAAAAACCGCATTTTTGATTTTCGAAAAAAAAAAAACGTTTTTTTTTCTCGAAAAATCAACTTTTTTAACGTTGAAATAACCAACTTTTTTATTTTAAAAAAAATCGACTTTTTGATTTTCGAAAAAAATGACTTTTTATTTTTGAAAAAATTGAATTTTTTTTTATTTTTCAAAAAATTGACTTTTTGATTCTCGAAAAAAAATGTCTTTTTTTATTTTCGAAAAATATGAAATTTGATTTTATTTTAAAATCGACCTTTTTAATTTCGAAAAATCAATTTTTTTATTTTTGAAAAAATTGACTTATTTTTTATTTTCGAAAAAATCTACTTTTTTTTCTCGAAAAAGTCTACTTTTTAATTTTTCAAAAAAATTGACTTTTATTATTTTTAAAAAAATCAGTTTTAAAACTTAAATAACAACTCAAAATTATTTTAAGATTGGTTAATAACACAACGGTTTAGTTCTAAAATTATTAATAAAATATAAGTTCGATTAGTTAATCATTAATAATAATTCAGTTATTCTAATTTCAATTCAGTTCAGCGATTTGAAACGATTCAACGATTTTTTTAATAGCCCTAACTGTACCTATTGCAACACACAATATTTTACATAGTGGATTAAGTGCATTTTTACTTTCAATATTTTTTGGGATTTGGTTAGTCTAACTTTAGATTTGTCTGCACTTTATTTTATGATGAAACACATAAATATGATAGTGTGTAAGTAACTTCACGTTATAAAATGATTGTCACGTCACATTTTTAAAACAAAAAATTAACTCAATTATATTATTTAATATAATTAATAATTTTTTAATTAAATAATATTTATCAAATAATTATTGGTACCATGTGTTAAAGAACTATTTACTAATAAATGACAAATTAACAAAATAAACTTTTTGCATTTGGTAAGGATTAAAGCCATGCCCTCTCCACTAAAACTAAAAAGCCATTGCTTAACCATTATTGTCATTGCAAACTTTTGTAATGTAGTTTCACCGAATCTTATATATATATATATATATATATATATATATATATATATATATATATATATATATATATATATATATATATATATATATATATATATATATATATATATATATATATATATATATATATAACACATAAAATTGGGCAGTTAAAATTGTTGATCAGAAAACGGCTTCGAATCCTATGTATGTTAGTGTATATGCTAGTGTTTATTTAGCCTAAGTTGAATATCAACTAGCATGATTGTTTAACTTAGTCATTATATCCACATCACTCTTCTAAATTACAATCCCTTAATCCCTTAATCCCTTAACTATACGACAGATAAATATTTAGAACAAGACATTTTAAAAACGTTAAATCATAAGTCATAATTTATAATTTTTTAACTTTAATCAATTACTAAGTTGAGTTGGTTAATTTAGTTCAAATTCATAAAGTTATGGTGAGTAATCACTATGAATATAGATCGTCATATGAATTCGTAAACACATATAAAGCAATGAACACAAAATTAAAATGAATAATAATACTAAATTAATCAAGTAAACAAATAATATGAAAATTAATCAAGTAAACAAATAATATGAAACACAAATATATGATCCAACAGATTTATACTAGTACATCTAGCAAGTCATACACAGTACACTACTCAAAACATATAAACAACAACGTCATGGTCACCATGGTTCTTCACTACACCGTGGTGACATCTCTTAAATAAGGCGCATATTTTCTTTTTTATTTATAAATTTGTATATAATAACGGTTGAGAAGCCAACCGTGATAAAACCATCAAGTTTTCATGAGTTCGAACCTCAGTGTTATCATATATATTATTCATTTAATATTAAGGCGCGTTTTTTTATATAAAAAAAACTTAAAGGGATATGACTACAGTTGATACGTTCCACCGTTGTGATATATTTATAATAAATAAATACTTATCAATAAGTTTGATAGAGAACTGTAGTGAAATAACTTACCCATATATGAGCGAATTAACTCTCACTTATTGATATAGCGCTGGTTCCTTCATAGTGAAACCCTAGCACCTATTTTTTCTCTTCTTCTCCACCATTAGTTGTGAATCTCGTGCTTCATACGTTAAGGTATTCTTCTTCTTACATCTTATTATTAGATAGTTCCCCATTATCTCGTTTGTTACATGTTGTTTTTGTTGATTAATTATTCTCATTTTTTAAGATTCGTCTTCACTAACAGCTTAATAAAGACCATACTTTGGCTATGATACATATTGTTTGTGTAGCTATGAAAAAAGTACAAGAAGCATGAAGCTATGATGGAAACTTCATTCACCTTGTACTTCTTTTTTTTTTTTTAAATAATGAACTTTTGATTAATTAAAAAAAAACAATAATTACAAGTGATCCAATAGGGATCCAACTACTAATGAGTCAAGAAGACTAGAGAAAACTAAGATAAAACTATCATCCTTCTGTCATTAGGATAGCTATGTATTTCCTCAATTTCTTATTATTCCATCATCTATAAACAATGTTGTCTATAATTCTCTTCCCTATACGCGTGGTATCTGCATCTTTGCAAAAAAATTCCTGAGATTCTAAATTTCATAAACAGTCTCTGCTACTTCCATTTTGAGGACAACATCTTTTTCGCCCTTACCTTTAGCATGTTCAGTTATCCATTTGACCTCCTTGGTCCATTCCTCAGGGTTACGTAGAACTTGGGTCCAATCTAAGATCTCAATCCAAATCTCTCTTGTGATAGGACATTCGAAGAACATATGTTTGGATGAGCGTTACAACTTGTAATTCTTTTTCTTAGCTTCACAAACGGGATGTTTTTCATACTTTGTTAACAAATAAGTTTATGTTTTTACATGTTGATAACTTTCATGGTTATTGTAGGACTCAACAAGAACAACATATTTTAGTTAATGAAGAAACAATAGCGGCAGCAAACTTCATCTAGTTTGTGATACAATGAGAAAAATATAAGAAGTATAAATTTGTTGTGTAAGCCTCTTCCTCCTTATATTTCTTTTTCATTGCTTCACAAATTATATGAACTTTAGAATTGATTCATGTTCCACGATTAGTTTCAATAAAAGGTGCATCCTAGAAATTTATAATATATATTTTTCATTTATCACAAATTTATAATACCTGGTAATGTTGTATGATGTTATTTGTGTTTATTATATTCTATGTAGATTGTTTGTTTCACTAACCCTCACTTAAAATACATTCATTTAAATTGACATAGATATTATAATCTGAAAGTTAAATTTTATTTGAAAACCAACTTATATCAATCATGGTTTCCGAATTGTAAGCGTCTCATAGTTTATTTCATGTTCTTTTACATATAGATTATAGTATAATGATCCGACTCCTTAGATGCATCGTTGTCTTCTATTATAGTTAAATTTCATTAACTATAACTTATTAGATAATCTGCCTCATCATCAGCACTAATGATCGTAAAAATTGCAATTATAAAAATTACGATGATAAGTGATGATGATGAGGCAGATTATTCAATGTCTTTTTGTTATGGAAATTTAACTATAATCGAAGATAACGATGTATCGAAGGAGTTAGACCAATAAACCACAATATATACGTAAAAGAGCATGAAATGCACGATGTGACGCATGCAATCAGAAAAAATAATGGTTTGTTTAAGTTGGTTTTAGATAATAGCTTAATTTTCAGATTATAGACTTCTTCATCAATTTGAAAGCTTGTGTTTCTTTAGTGAGGTGTACGGAAAACAAGCATTCTACATATTATATAATAAACTCTGGACACTTTTCACAATTATTATATATTATAAACGTGATCAAATGTCATTTATGATTTACATCATTTACTGCTGATAGGTTTCGAACCCAGTACCTATGTATAAGTATCATAATGGTTTATAAGTATAACTGTTGTGATAAGTGGCATGTG